AAACAAACAAACAAACAAACAAACAAACAAACAAACAAACAAACAAAACAAACAAACAAACAAACAAACAAACAAACAAACAAACAAACAAACAAACAAACAAACAGGTGGTCAAACAAACAAACCGTAAAAAAGTTTACAAAATTTGACCATGTTAAACAAAGGATACGTGCTCTGAAACTGTATGCCTAAAAAGTTTAAAGAAAATGCAATCAGTTCATATGTACAGAAACTGTTGACAGTTAGTTAATTTCAAATTGTGTAAAGTAGTATATTTTACATTTTGTTTAAATAGAACGCATGTTAGTCCACGATAACTTACCAAAATATTGATCCATCAACGAGCTCTGTTTTGTAGCAGCAGCAGCCTCGCTGGGAGTATTGTGTCCTTCAACTGATGTTACACCTGGTAATTTTTGTTGAAGAATGCGAACGAAATGTGTCCAGCACTCATTAGCATCCTAAATGAACCAAAAAGAAAAAGAGACAATTTAATTTACAAATACCATGTAATTACTGTCCAATTTTTGCAAGCAATGCGGCCATGCACCTGACCAATGCAGTGGTAAACATAGGGGACAAGGAGAGGTACATGTAAACTCACCGCTCCCAACAATTAACTACAGTACTGCAGAATAAAATTATTAAGTTGTGAGTGCCAATATGGGCAATACAGTACATTACCTGTTGTATTGGGACACCATGTTCATTCTTCTCTGCAAAATGAGGAAATGCTTGATGGAGAGCCTAAGTGAAAGAATAGAGGCTTCAAATTATCTAAACCACTGCCAATAGATTTAACCATTAATACAAACATGTAATAATATAGAAATCTTCAGAGGAATGGAGTTTTCTTACTTGGACTAAGAAAAACGGTGGAAAGCTGTCAGAATTTTCATTAATTTTATGGAAAGTATCTTTGAGTCCTGCCAGAACAGTTTGTTCACCTGAGCCAAACTGTGAGAGCCCACCAGCGCTTCCACGGTACCTGCAGATGACATGTTAGTATAGGACAGTTAGCGGACAAACCTGGTTATGACAAAGCATAGCCCTGGCTATTCAATACGTGGTTTGGACTCAATTAATTCAGACGAATTTAATTCATTATTAAATTCGTCAATTGGTCGACATTAAAATGGTTTCGTTTCAAACGACGAATTAATTTAATAACTAGCGATCATGGATTACCCAGAAATAAATACCACAGGAACAGAAAGACAGAAACAGACTTTAACATAATTATTGTGTTGTGTATGTTTGTAAATGTGTTACTTAAACAGTATGTAAAATATTATAATTTAGTAGACCCACTCCATGTGGCTTCTTGACATTTTTAGCTCTTAAGTTAGGCCAAATAAAAAAAATACAGTACTTGGTTAGTGTCACACTCTCACAAATTTTCAGAGACGGGCGGGCGTTGTTGTTTTTTAATTTTTACTCGTTTTTTTAATTTTTTAATAGTATTTTTTTTTGGGGGGGGGG